AAGTGTCTTGAAGATTAGAACAGTATTGTATTGTTATAATTTGATGCATTTATAAAAAATATCGTTTAATACTATAATACCTGAAACTTCAACCTTTATTTACCTACATCCTATCTTAAATTGAAAAAATAATCTTAAACTAGAAATAATTTATATTTTAAAATGTGTATTTTACAAACCAAGATTTCCATGCCAAACCCATTAATCTTCCTTAGCTATTGACATCCAACATTTTCATTAAAACTGATCCGGTACTAATTTTAGCTCCTGATGAAAAATCAGTACTTTATGCTTGTAATTTATACCTTACACTTATGGCTTTATGGGTTCTCAGTTTATGTCTTTTTTAGTTCTCAGCACTTTAATGGCTTTATTAATTCTCAGTACGTAATGGTTATACATGCTCTCAGTAGTAAGACTGTTAGTTCTCAGTACTTTTATGTCTTCATTAATTCTCGGTACTTTAATGGCGATCTATGTTCTCAGTCTTCGTATGGTTTAATTAGTTCTTAGTGCTTGCATGACTTTATTAGTTCTTAGTACTATTATGGCTATATTAGTTCTCAGTACTATTATGGCTTTTTTAGTTCTCGGTATATGTTTGGCTTAATTTGGTCTTTATATTTTACACTTGTGGCTTTAGTTTAATTTTGGGCTCACTTGGTCCTAATACCGGTGCGCGGACCTTTGACCACGGGTGCTTTGACCATAGGGGGTTTGACCATAGGGGGTTTGACCACAGCAGAGCTTTGACCATAGGGGCTTTGACCATAGGGGGTTTGACCACAGCGGGCCTTTGACCATAGCGGTGCTTTGACCATAGGGGGTTTGATCATAGGGGGTTTGACCATAGGGGGTTTGACCATAGGAGGTTTGACCACATGTGTTTTCTCAGCAGAGGGTCTTTGATCACAGGTGGTCTATCAACTGGTGTTTGATCACAAGCGCTGTGTCCGGCTTTGATCATAGGTGTGATACAATTAACACGATTTTATACATGTTTCCTGAGAGTACGTTAATAGAAATTAACATGTATTTAAAAAAAGCCAAGAACCGTATTTTAGTCTCCACATAAAGGCTGGTGCCAGACCTCATAGATTTATTTTAAATATAAATGAAACACAAATAATGCGACATATAACAAGTTTCACAAATAAATAAGGTAGAAGTACTTGAAAATACATAGCATATATAAAGGATAAAAAATGATACAAAACTTGCCAACAATATAGTCAAAGATGTAATACATAAAATGGTTAACTAAATGACAGATGTGCTATAGCACGCAAATATGTCAGTACATCTGTTTGACCATATTATTACATCATGTAGAAATTTAAAATATAATTTAGCAACTTTTAAAATAAATCCTTACCATATATGGACAGCATTGGACAAACCACCTGAGATCAAAGACCCTATGTGGACAAAACACCTATGATCAAAGGCGGACACAGCTCTTGTGATCAAACACCAGTTGATAGACCACCTGTGATCAAAGACCCTCTGCCGAGAAAACACCTGTGGTCAAACCCCCTATGGTCAAACCCCCTATGATCAAACCCCCTATGGTCAAAGCACCGCTATGGTCAAAGGCCCGCTGTGGTCAAACCCCCTAAGGTCAAAGCCCCTATGGTCAAAGCTCCGCTGTGGTCAAACCCCCTATGGTCAAAGCACCTGTGGTCAAAAGTCCTAGGACCCTAATACCAGAGGCGTAGCGACCCTTCCCCGGCATCCGGGGACAAACTTTCGATTTGCACCCCCCCCTCAAACTTTCGATTTGCAGCCCTCCTTCAAAGTTTCGATTTGCACACCCCTCAAACTTTCGATTTGCACCCCACCTCAAAACTTTCGATTTCTTTTTCCAACCCATTTTGGCGCCCCCTAAGGTCGGCGCCCGGGGACATATGCCCCCTCCCCCCCCTCTACGCCTCTGCCTAATACCATATTATTGTATGCCTCTTTGTGCTATAAACTGGTTGATCAAAGCAGCTACTACAGCACATTATAAACACGTAGGTCAGGGGAGACTAATCTAAACGTTTTATTATGCACACATCCCTTACCATAGCATGTATATGAACACAAAAATACTATAATTTCTTAGCTTTGTCTCGAGGCTGAACCGGTTCAATATCTTTTAATGTAGAATTAATGAGAACCTTTAATTTGTTTAAATTATGTAACTCGATAATGGTTGTATACTTTATAGTGACATACTTGAAGCATAATCTAGCCCACAGTTTCTGTAAGGTATCTTCCAGAAGGAAGGAGGGGTGGGCGTTGAGATATTTTAACATGTTCACCACCCAACCCTCCTCTCCCCCACGGGCAAAATAGAAGAATAAAAATTAATGTATATGGAAAATAATTATTTTTAAATCAGGTTAACCCCCCCCCCCCCACTGAAGCTTCGAAGTACCCCTCCCCTCCTACCACAGGAGAAAAGCCTGATTAGTTTAATCTTTTCGAATCTGTAAGGGCAGCACACATTAAATGGGACCCATAGATTGTCTGGTTTTTAAATTACGTTCTGTCTTACAAAGTATACAGCACACATTAAATGGGACCCATAGATTTTCTGCTTTTTAAATAACGTTCTGTCTTACAAAGTATACAGCACACATTAAATGGGACCCATAGACTTTCTGGTTTTAAAATTACGTTCTGTCTTACAAAGTATACAGCACACATTAAATGGGACCCCTTGATTGTCTGGTTTTAAAATTACGATCAGTCTTACAAAGTATACAGCACACCGTTAGCTAGCTAGCGCAAACTGAATTAAAATTATTGGTTTCTAAAAAAATAATAATAATAATAAAAAAATCAAAATTGCTGCGTCTTTTGTATAAATTCATAACTTTCTGTATGTTAGTACCAATATCATGTATGTAGACCTAAATATAGTGCTAGTAGTTTAAGGCGATACTGGTCATGGAACAAGGCGAGGGTGTTGGGTGAAAAAAAGTAAAATTCCCTTTCCAAATCTGACGGTCAATTGGGCAAGTGAAGTAGAGTTCACCTGCTTCAGTGACCTCGGCATATGAAGTGATAGTGTGGTCAGCACTTTGCCAAGCCGCCTTTACTTTCCCTAACGTTAGTTAGGTACCCATCAGAGCTGGGTGGACTCAGGGACGGTCTACTGACTTGAATCCGTAACCGTGTTGGTTGAGGGATAGTGAGGCGTTCTGATTGTGAGGGGTAAAGTTGTGGGGTGGGGGGGGGTTTGGCGAAAGATGGGTAACTGACGAAGGCAAAACAACCATTTTCTCACAATCTCACTAGTTTAAAACATACATTGTTACCACTATCCAAATTAATGGAATGGACCCTAAAATTGTAAGTATTAGGCATACATCTCAACATTTAAAAAAAAAACTATTAGGTAAGTTTGAGTTTAATGTTTAATTTTATTAGCAAGCAACACACTATTGTACTGATCGTAAGTTTATTAAGTCTTTAACAGACATGGATTAAAATAAACTTTCACACATTTTTTTTTTAACCTCATAGTGTTCCAAGTAAACAATTTAAACAAATCACACGTTGCTTTACCTCCATAAACACACATTGTAGAGCAGTGGCGTAGCGAGGTCGGGTGTCACCCGGTGCGGCACTTAATGGTGTCACCCCCCCCCAGAGGCATAGAGGTCCTTCCCAGGGACAAACTTTCAAATTTTCGATTTGCACCCCCCCCCCCCCCCCCTCAAACTTTCGATTTGCACCCCCCCTCGAGTTTTTCTCTATATATTTTGCTATTTTTTTCCCTTGGTGTCACCCCCCTAAATGGTGTCACCCGGTGCGGTCCGCACCCCCCGCCCCCCCCCCCCCCTCGCTACGCCCCTGCTGTAGAGTCAAATCTACACTTGTTTTCCCTTAACAGTCATGCAGATGAAATTGGCCTTGTCTGCGCAGTCGCGTGCCTTAGCCTGGCCGGTAGAGTACAACATAGCGCAGTGTGCTGTGGGGTCCGGTGCCTCATCCTTGCGGAAAAAGATGTCAGCCTTGGTTTTCCCGTGCCACAGCCAGACGGAACTGGTTTTCAAATCATTGGCGCCAATCCAAGCTGGTTACATGGTAACAAAACAAAAAGAATGTGTTCATTCACGTAGCTAGTTATAGTACAATCATAGATTGTAGGTTGATTTTGTTAGCTGAACGTAAAAAATATTTTGTAAAAATCACACAGAAAGACTGTTACAGAACAATATATATATATATATATATATATATATATATATATATATATATATATATATATATATATATATATATATATATATATATATATATATATATATATATATATATATATTCTGTAGTTTGTAAAGATAGTCAAACTTACATGTATTCCAAGCCAACAAGTTGATAACCTCATACACAAAAGCCCATCTTCTTGCGTTGGTTATTTTGACTAGGACTTTCTTGTCATCCGCGCATACACTCTACAGTAATATTGGATAAGTAACAATTACAACAGTATAGGGTATCTATTGTATATAGAGTGTGATGGGTATTGTAAGCCTGAATCATATTAGCATATGTAAGCATATATATATATATATATATATATATATATATATATATATATATATATATATATATATATATATATATATATGCGTGTGTCTGTATGTATGTATGTAAAACGTCCATATCTACTCAACAAACGCCCAATCCATATTTGCCATCACACACACAGACACACACAAAACATACAGAGACACACACATATACCCTCAATCACACCCAAACTAATCCTACAAACATGCCCCTACATTTACAAAAGGTGTTTCGCCTTATGACCTAGTGTTCACCAAATCTCTAGTAAAATGGAACATTAGTTTATTTACCGTTTCGCCCATATGACCTAGTGTTCACCAAAGCTCTAGTAAAATAAGACATTAGTTTATTTACCGTTTCGCCCATATGATCTAGTGTTCACCAAAGCTCTAGTAAAATAAGACATTAGTTTATTTACCGTTTCGCCCATATGATCTAGTGTTCACCAAAGCTCTAGTAAAATAAGACATTAGTTTATTTACCGTTTCGCCCATATGACCTAGTGTTCACCAAAGCTCTAGTAAAATAAGACATTAGTTTATTTACCGTTTCGCCCATATGACCTAGTGTTCACCAAAGCTCTAGTAAAATAAGACATTAGTTTAGTTAAAGTTTCGCCATTTGACATGTTGTGCACATAAGCTCTTGTAAATGGAACATTAGTTTAGTTACTGTTTCGCCTTATAACCAAGTGTTCACCATAAGCTCTTGTAAATGGAACATTAGTTTAGTTACTGTTTCGCCTTATAACCAAGTGTTCACCAGAGCTCTATTAAAGTGGAACATTAGTTACCGCTGCTTCGTCCCAGCCTGCCTCTCTAGCGTGGAAGTCAAAACAAATTTTCTGGAACTCGACTGTGAATATTTCAGGGTTGGTCTTACTTTTGCCTGACACACAGATACCTGGTACACAGGAGGGTACAACATCAGCACACGTCACAACTACAGCACACGTCACAACATCAGTACACGTCACAGCACACGTCACAACATCAGCACACGTCACAACAACAGCACACGTCACAACATCAGCACACCTCACAACATCAGCACACGTCACAACATCAGCACACGTCACAACATCAGCACACGTCACAACATCAGCACACGTCACAACATCAGCACACGTCACAACATCAGCACACGTCACAACATCAGCACACGTCACAACATCAGCACACGTCACATCACACGTCACAACATCAGCACACGTCTCAACATCAGCACACGTCACAACATCAGCACACGTCACAACATCAGCACACGTCACAACATCAGCACACGTCACAACATCAGCACACGTCACAACATCAGCACACGTCACAACATCAGCACACGTCACAACATCAGCACACGTCACAACATCAGCACACGTCACAACATCAGCACACGTCACAACATCAGCACACGTCACAACATCAGCACACGTCACAACATCAGCACACGTCACAACATCAGCACACGTCACAACATCAGCACACGTCACAACATCGGCACACGTCTCAACATCAGCACACGTCACAACATCAGTACACGTCACATCATCAGCACACGTCACATCATCAGCACACGAAACAACATCAGCACACGTCACATCACACGTCACAACATCGGCACACGTCTCAACATTAGCACACGTCACAACATGAGCAGACGTCACAATATCAGCACACGTCACATCACACCTCACAACATGAGCAGACGTCACAACATTAGCACACGTCACAACATCAGCACACGTCACATCACACCTCACAACATGAGCAGACGTCACAACATTAGCACACGTCACAACATTAGCACACGTCACATCACACCTCACAACATGAGCAGACGTCACAACATTAGTACACGTCACAACATCAGCACACGTCACAACACATGTCACAACATCAGCACACGTCACAACATCAGCACACGTCACAATACTAGGTAACTTGTCTAACACTTCCATAGCTAACTGAAAACTTCTATAGTTAACTAATCCCATATATATATTTAACTAAGCACATATATAGTTAACTAAACACATCTATTATTAACTATACACATCTATAGAACAAAAACATCTATAGTTAACTCAGCACATCTATAAATAACTTAACACATCTATAATTAACGCAGTACTTCCAAGTTAAGTCAACGTAAAACATGTGAGATAATTAAACACCCTTAACTTACATTATGTGAAACATATAAAATTCTTGCATTCCACTTTAGTAAATGGAAAACACGTGAAATAAGTAACATCACAAGAATTGTATATACTTTAAAACAGGTGATAATTAGAAACTAATTGGGTGTCCACTAATATTTTATAATCTAAAAATGTGTTAAATACCTGCGACTCTCTGAATGATGACCACGACAGTGACACACATTAAATACAACATAGTTGAATGTTGTCTTAGAAGCCTCACAAGAATCTGTTTAAAAATTGTTTACAATAAAAACCTTAAAAAAGGCATTACGATTCTACTGTAACTAATGTTGTGTATTTATTATATTTACTTTTATTATCTACCTTCGAATCTACTCCAGCTACTGTAATGTATTTATATATTTAATTTCAATATATATTTATAAATCTACTATAACTACTATAATGTAACTATTATATTTACTTTAATTATGCACTTACAGTATGTAGTGACTATATATAATGTCTACAAAAAGCACTTTAAGTTAAGTAGCTTTTTTGAAGTGTGCATTTACTCTGTGTACTTACAACGCATATGCCTACTTACAATAAATATACACAGCCGATATTATTGTTGTATACAACGAATTTTCTAATAGTTGAACAGGTTTCTAACACTAGTAATTCAATTCAAATTTCACACCGAACAATAACTTATCATCAGGCTTTAACTACTAAATCAGTGATTAATCCTCAAGTGTAGAGACCAATCCACGAGACATGCCTAATCCGATGAACAGATGTAATGGGCCACGTCCTTAAGATTGTTGAGTTGATCATTTCTGAACTTGAAGACAATCTTATTTCTTCTAGTAAAAATATTTGCAACTGATTTGTGAGACTCTTGTTTAAACATTTAAAGGTGATTTGAACAAATGTCGACTCGGGCAATTGTCGCATTCAGTAAAAGGACATTTCGGGAAAACGGCGCTTGGGCAAACGGTATTCGGTCAAGTGTCTTTTGGGTATTTGTCTTAAACACACACGCGCACGCACGCACGCACGCACATACACATACCCCCCCCCACATATATATATATATATATATATATATATATATATATATATATATATATACCTATTAACAATACACTATGAACATCGAACATAATTTATTACAGAAAAAATGTTGAAAATAATTTAGTGAAGAGACAAGTTAAATCTTTGTTTTAAACAAACTTTTGTTTTAATGATTCATATCTCATTCATCAAATATTTTATTTTCTAGCTCCGTTGTTCAATCAGGGTTTGATGTTCTGATTCAAGATATTGTTTTTCCACACAAATAATGTCCAGATGAAATATCCGATGGGGGAGGCGGAACCTTAACATGTTTCCAGCTCAACCGATTCTAATTCGCCACCATCATCGCCACCTTTCTCTTGTGAGCAACCTTTGTGCAGCTTTTGGTGGTGAGTTTTCTCAGCGACACAGCCACGAAGATATTGAGTACCAGAGCCACGGTCACAAAAAGGGGAAACAAGGTGCTGGCAAATGCTGGCATGATGATGAAGGCTTGCCTGTTGACAAACGCCCAGATTTAACGTAATAAAAGCGTTTTGTAAAGAGGAATAAACATTTTTTTTTAAATAATATGTTTTTAACACATTGTATATCATTGTATTATGGATGGCAGAATTAAGAAATTCGAAATATAGAATAAAATATAAAAAGTTGAACAGAAATAGAAATAATCGCTACACGTGAATGAAACGGGGGGGGGGGGTTATGGCAAAATCAGAGGCTTTAATTTAAGTCCTATATTTATTTCAGTAAATGTAATGCTATAAGTGTTTTGAACAAATAGCTAAAGTAAAGGACATTGTTTTATAAAAGCCTAACAGAAGCCTCAGACTGGCCGACCAAACAGCTTCCACAAGTGACGATACCACCTCCAAACATCGACACAACTTCCGAATACCGACACTACATCCGTCCACCTACAACACTTCCGCACAACGACACCACTACAATACACTGACACAACTTCCGAATACCGACACTACATCCGTCCACCTACAACACTTCCGTATACCGACACCACTACAATACACTGACACAACTTCCGAATACCGACACTACATCCGTCCACCTACAACACTTCCGTATACCGACACCACTACAATACACTGACACAACTTCCGAATACCGACATTACATCCGTCCACCTACAACACTTCCGTATACCGACACCATTAGCGTAAAAATTCACCACGGTCGTACATCACTTGCATATACCGATGGTTCTAGTGTTTGGGGATGGACGTTTAAACTCATTTATTTCATTTTTTCAAAGATTATTAAAAACAATCTATATATATAACTCTTCTGGGAGACACTAGAAAACAAGCTGTAAAGGCGCTCCCACCCCCACCCCTACATGGTCTGATGAGCTGTGGTTTACAAACAGAGCCGGGTTTAATGACGACTATTAGGGGCAGATAATTTAGTTTGAAACTATTTTAAACGTGGGGGGGGGGGGGGGGTAACTAAGTGGAGTATACTTTAACGGAGGGGGGAGGAGGGGGGGGGGTTATCGTCCTTAACGAGCTACTTATAGTGTTTTAAAGAAGTATTTTTAGTGGCAGCGTTGGTAGTGTCGAATTCACAAATTATGAATAGCTGAAAAGTAGAAAAAACAAACAACTAAATAGAGGCGTATGATATGCCGCGGGTCGGCTCGTACTAAAAAAATACGCAGTGTAATATATACCATCTGAGCACTAATAATGGACCTTTTTTAAAGGATTGTAATGATTTTGTTCGAATTTGCTAAATTGTTCTGGAAAATAAAATCATTTATTTAAGACGTACGATAACTGAAATAATTTAAGCTGTGAATTTGTTCAAATAATAGAAATATATAATGAGATATATTAGAAATTAAAAAAAAATATAAAAAGCCGAAGAAAATGATTTTATAATATATAACACTCACCAAAGGTAGTAAAATACTGACCAATGCAATATAAAGGAAAATAAAATAATTTAGATTTAAAGTAACATACTGACCAATGATGTATGAATTGTGTAATAAAATACTAGGTTCAAAGTAAAATATAGACGATTGCAGTTTGAATTTTAATAAAACACGAAAGATTAAAGTAAAATACTGACCTATACAGTATAAACTAAAATAAAACACTTAAGGTTTAAAGTATAATACTAACCAATGCAGTATAAATTGAAAAAATACTGAAGATTTAACGTAAACTACATACCAATTCAGTACTGCAGGTAACAGAGTACTAAAGGTTTAAAGTAAAATACTGACCAATGCAGTACTGCAGGTAACAGAATACTGAAGGTCAGAAGTATTCGGATCAGCTGGAAAACGTAGGCAAGCTGTTCAAAGAAGGGCCGTGGTAATGAGCCACCTCCCAGCAGGGCAAACATGTAGATAAACAGGGCTGGAAGGAAGAAAACATGTAGATAAACAGAGCGGGAAGGAAACATGTAGATAAACAGGGCTGGAAGGAAACATGTAGATAAACAGGGCTGGAAGGAAACATGTAGATAAACAGGGCTGGAAGGAAGGAAACATGTAGATAAACAGGGCTGGAAGGAAACATGTAGATAAACAGGGCTGGAAGGAAGGAAACATGTAGATATACCGGGCTGGAAGGAAACATGTAGATAAACAGGGCTGGAAGGAAGGAAACATGTAGATAAACAGGGCTGGAAGGAAACATGTACATAAACAGGGCTGGAAGGACAGAAACATGTAGATAAACAGGGCTGGAAGGAAACATGTAGATAAACAGGGCTGGAAGGAGACATGTAGATAAACAGGGCTGGAAGGACAGAAACATGTAGATAAACAGGGCTGGAAGGAAACATGTAGATAAACAGGGCTGGAAGGAAACATGTAGATAAACAGGACTGGAAGGAAACATGTAGATAAACAGGGCTGGAAGGAAACATGTAGATAAACAGGGCTGGAAGGAAGGAAACATGTAGATAAACAGGGCTGGAAGGAAACATGTAGATAAACAGGGCTGGAAGGAAACATGTAGATAAATAGGACTGGAAAAAAGGAAACATGTAGATAAACAGGGCTTGAAGGAAACATGTAGATAAACAGGGCTGGAAGGAAACATGTAGATAAACAGGGCTGGAAGGAAACATGTAGATAAACAGGGCTGGAAGGAAACATGTAGATAAACAGGGCTGGAAGGAAGGAAACATGTAGATAAACAGGGCTGGAAGAAAACATGTAGATAAACAGGGCTGGAAGGACAGAAACATGTAGATAAACAGGGCTGGAAGGAAACATGTAGATAAACAGGGCTGGAAGGAAACATGTAGATAAACAGGGCTGGAAGGAAACATGTAAATAAACAGGGCTGGAAGGAAACATGTAGATAAACAGGGCTGGAAGGAAACATGTAGATAAACAGGGCTGGAAGGAAACATGTAGATAAACAGGGCTGGAAGGAAACATGTAAATAAACAGGGCTGGGAGGAAACATGTAGATAAACAGGGCTGGAAGGAAACATGTAGATAAACAGGGCTGGAAGGAAACATGTAGATAAACAGGACTGGAAAGAAGGAAACATGTAGATAAACAGGGCTTGAAGGAAACATGTAGATAAACAGGGCTGGAAGGAAGAAACATGTAGATAAACAGGGCTGGAAGGAAACATGTAGATAAACAGGGCTGGAAGGAAACATGTAGATAAACAGGTCTGAAAGTCAACAAGTAGATAAACAGGGTTGGAGGGAAATATGTAGATAAACAGGTCTGAAAGTAAACATGTAGATAAACAGGGCTGGAAGGAAGGAAACATGTAGATAAACAGGGCTGGAAGGAAACATGTAGATAAACAGGGCTGGAAGGACAGAAACATGTAGATAAACAGGGCTGGAAGAAAACATGTAGATAAACAGGGCTGGAAGGAAACATGTAGATAAACAGGGCTGGAAGGACAGAAACATGTAGATAAACAGGGCTGGAAGGAAACATGTAGATAAACAGGGCTGGAAGGAAACATGTAGATAAACAGGGCTGGAAGGAAACATGTAGATAAACAGGGCTGGAAGGAAACATGTAGATAAACAGGGCTGGAAGGAAGGAAACATGTAGATAAACAGGGCTGGAAGGAAACATGTAGATAAACAGGGCTGGAAGGAAACATGTAGATAAACAGGGCTGGAGGAAGGAAACATGTAGATAAACAGGGCTGGAAGGAAACATGTAGATAAACAGGGCTGGAAGGACAGAAACATGTAGATAAACAGGGCTGGAAGGAAGGAAACATGTAGATATACAGGGCTGGAAGTAAACATGTAGATAAACTGGGCTGGAAGGACAGAAACATGTAGATAAACAGGGCTGGAAGGAAACATGTAGATAAACAGGGCTGGAAGGAAACATGTAGATAAACAGGTCTGAAAGTCAACAAGTAGATAAACAGGGCTGGAAGGAAGGAAACATATAGATAAACAAGGTTGGAGGGAAACATGTAGATAAACAGGTCTGAAAGTAAACAAATAGATAAACAGGGCTGGAAGGAAGGAAACATGTAGATAAACAGGGCTGGAAGGAAACATGTAGATAAACAGGGCTGGAAGGACAGAAACATGTAGATAAACAGGGCTGGAAGGAAGGAAACATGTAGATAAACACGGCTGGAAGGAAACATGTAGATAAACAGGGCTGGAAGGACAGAAACATGTAGATAAACAGGGCTGGAAGGAAGGAAACATGTAGATAAACAGGGCTGGAAGGAAACATGTAGATAATCAGGGCTGGAAGGAAACATGTAGATAAACAGGGCTGGAAGGAAACATGTAGATAAACAGGGCTGGAAGGACAGAAACATGTAGATAAACAGGGCTTGTAGGAAGGAAACATGTAGATAAACAGGGCTGGAAGGAAACATGTAGATAAACAGGGCTGGAAGGACAGAAACATGTAGATAAACAGGGCTGGAAGGAAGGAAACATGTAGATATACAGGGCTGGAAGGAAACATGTAGACAAACAGGGCTGGAGGGAAGGAAACATGTAGATAAACAGGGCTGGAAGGAAACATGTAGATAAACAGGGCTGGAAGGACAGAAACATGTAGATAAACAGGGCTGGAAGGAAACATGTAGATAAACAGGGCTGGAAGGAAACATGTAGATAAACAGGGCTGGAAGGAAGGAAACATGTAGATAAACAGGGCTGGAAGGAAACATGTAGATAAACAGGGCTGGAAGGAAGGAAACATGTAGATAAACAGGGCTGGAAGGAAGGAAACATGTAGATAAACTGGGCTGGAAGGAAACATGTAGATAAACAGGACTGGAAGGACAGAAACATGTAGATAAACAGGGCTTGTAGGAAGGAAACATGTAGATAAACAGGGCTGGAAGGAAACATGTAGATAAACAGGGCTGGAAGGACAGAAACATGTAGATAAACAGGGCTGGAAGGAAGGAAACATGTAGATATACAGGGCTGGAAGGAAACATGTAGACAAACAGGGCTGGAGGGAAGGAAACATGTAGATAAACAGGGCTGGAAGGAAACATGTAGATAAACAGGGCTGGAAGGAAGGAAACATGTAGATAAACAGGGCTGGAAGGAAACATGTAGATAAACAGGGCTGGAAGGACAGAAACATGTAGATAAACAGGGCTGGAAGGAAACATGTAGTTAAACAGGGCTGGAAGGAAACATGTAGATAAACAGGGCTGGAAGGAAACATGTAGATAAACAGGGCTGGAAGGAAACATGTAGATAAACAGGGCTGGAAGGACAGAAACATGTAGATAAACAGGGCTGGAAGGAAACATGTAGATAAACAGGGCTGGAAGGAAACATGTAGATAAACAGGGCTGGAAGGAAACATGTAGATAAACAGGGCTGGAAGGAAACATGTAGATAAACAGGGCTGGAAGGAAGGAAACATGTAGATAAACAGGGCTGGAAGGAAACATGTAGATAAACTGGGCTGGAAGGAAACATGTAGATAAACAGGACTGGAAAGAAGGAAACATGTAGATAAACAGGGCTTGAAGGAAACATGTAGATAAACAGGGCTGGAAGGAAGAAACATGTAGATAAACAGGGCTGGAAGGAAACATGTAGATAAACAGGGCTGGAAGGAAACATGTAGATAAACAGGTCTGAAAGTCAACAAGTAGATAAACAGGGCTGGAAGGAAGGAAACATATAGATAAACAGGGTTGGAGGGAAATATGTAGATAAACAGGTCTGAAAGTAAACAAGTAGATAAACAGGGCTGGAAGGAAGGAAACATGTAGATAAACAGGGCTGTAAGGAAACTTGTAGATAAACAGGGCTGGAAGGAAACATGTAGATAAAAAGGGCTAGAAGGAAACGTATAGATAAACAGGGCTGGAAGGAAGGAAACATGTAGATAAACAGGGCTGGAAGAAAGGAAACGGTTTCTTTTTTTAATGGACATTTCAATGTTATCATAATGGGAATGGCTTGATTTAAGTTTAACACTTGCTACGTGGTATAATACTGTGGGTCGCTTACTGGAGCCGTGTAGTGGGCTTTTGTGGGTAACATCTTGCAAGCTTATGTTCAATATATATATATATATATATATATATATATATATATATATATATATATATATATATATATATATATATATATATATATATATATACGTGTCTCTCAATGATGGCAGCGAAGGTAGTTTGATGTCTTATCAAAACTTTACTTTACATTTAAAGCAAGCGTTGTTGTGTTTTAATAATTTCATTAAGGGATTGACAATTAACAATTAGGATCCTGAAAACCCACAATACAATAGATTCTTTAGGTGAAGTGGATTCAACATTAGCCATGTTTAAAATATGCTATCACATGTAAGAGCTCCCTTATACCTACCAAGAAGTGTTATACAATGGGCAGTTTCCCCAGCCCAGCTCAGCTGGGTGGTGTCCGTCCCATTAGACTCATCTGCGTCGGCCATACCTGAAGGCTAACAAAATCCAAAAACTAAATAGTAGTAGTTAAATGGTCACATGTGTTGGTCATGTGCTATTGTCTTGTATGTTCACGTGTGTTGGTCATGTGCTATTGTCTAGTATGTTCACGTGTGTTGGTCATGTTGCTATTGTCTAGTATGGTCGCGTATGTTGGTCATGTGCTATTGTCTAGTATGGTCACGTGTGTTGGTCATGTGCTATTGTCTAGTATGGTCAGGTGTGTTGGTCATGTGCTATTGTCTAGTATGTTCACGTGTGTTGGTCATGTGCTATTGTCTAGTATGTTCACGTGTGTTGGTCATGTTGCTATTGTCTAGTATGGTCGCGTATGTTGGTCATGTGCTATTGTCTAGTATGGTCACGTGTGTTGGTCATGTGCTATTGTCTAGTATGGTCAGGTGTGTTGGTCATGTGCTATTGTCTAGTATGGTCACATGTGTTGGTCATGTGCTATTGTCTAGTATGGTCAGGTGTGTTGGTCATGTGCTATTGTCTAGTATGGTCACATGTGTTGGTCATGTGCTATTGTCTAGTATGGTCAGGTGTGTTGGTCATGTGCTATTGTCTAGTATGGTCACGCGTGTTGGTCATGTGCTATTGTCTATTATGGTCACATGTGTTGGTCATGTGCTATTGTCTAGTATGGTCAGGTGTGTTGGTCATGTGCTATTGTCTAGTATGGTCACGTGTGTTGGTCATGTGCTATTGTCTAGTATGGTCAGGTGTGTTGGTCATGTGCTATTGTCTAGTATGATCACGTGTGTTGGTCATGTGCTATTGTCTGGTCACGTGTGTTGGTCATGTGCTATTGTCTAGTATTATTGTTACGTGTGTTGGGCATTGGCTATTGTCTAGTATGGTCAGGTGTGTTGGTCATGTGCTATTGTCTAATATAATCACGTATGTTGGTCATGTGCTATTGTCTAATATAATCACGTATGTTGGTCATGTGCTATTGTCTAGTATTATTGTCACGTGTGTTTCGGGCATGTGCTATTGTCTAGGTAGGTAAGGATGAAAGCTTACAGCTCAATCTAAAACATCATCTAGTAGCCTAACTAAAAACCTGACTAAAAAGAGTAGAACTGGTTGAAAATTCTTGTTGCATACGTGATTACGTCACCACCAAAATACGAGACTGTGACATATAATAATAGTTATAACATGAATATTAGTATTTGAAATGTAATACACATGAGTGCTAAACTAGTAGTAAACAATTACTTCTGGTAAACGTAACGTAAACAAAATGAAGGTGATTACTGTAGAGATTCAAACTGTTTAATAGACGGGGTTTACCGTTTCTGAATACATTCAAATTTGCTTTTATTTTCATACCTTGCAATACATTACATAAGGCTATTCATATTATAACTACTAAAACAAAATATAGCTAGGCTAAGATAACATAGTGTAATTACAAAATAATGGACGCCGCTACACATAAAAATCAGTTGGAAAAAGTGCTGATCCCACAGAGGCGTAGCGATGGGGGGTGGGATGGGGCAGGGGGTACATATCTCCTCGGGCGCCGACCTTAGGGGGCGCCAAAATGGGTTGTAAAAACAAATTAAAATATCATTTTAGCTGCATTTTTGCATTATAAATAGTTTGAGGGGGGGGGGGGGGGGTAGGGTGTAAATTGATAGTTTGAGGGGGGGGAGGCTGCTAATTGAAAATTTACTCCCGAGCTGGGCGCCAAATTGAAAGTTTGTCCCCGGGAAGGGTCGCTACGCCTCTGTGACCACAAATTTCCTTCATATGCCGATGTCAAGAAAAATGAACACTACTTCGTCTGCCCATTGGATTGCTAGGTATAAAGAGCATTGTTTACTTACATCATTAAATTATGACATATGGCATCTCCAAACACAAATTAATCATTAAGTATAATTTTAAAGTATTTGTGGCTACACTACATACACGTGTAAGCTAATTGTTCAGATCCAATACAATACACAATTCTAATAACGAGCAAAACATTTAAAAAATGACAACTTCGATTTTGGTCGTTTGATTATCAGTTTTAAAGTATTCTAAAGAGATGTTTACGCACGTTTTTAAAGAAAGTACTAGAATCTAGATCTATTCATTTTAGTATTATCGATTTTCGCAACCGAACACTGATCATAACCGTTTGACATTGGTAACTAAGAAATTGGATCTAGATCTAGATCAAACTATATAAGTAGTTATCTGATGCATTACTTATATCTAATATTTTATAAATAAAATAATGAATTCACCTTTGTTTTAATTCAGGAGAAATCGAAACGATGAAATCACGTGTGGGATTTAGTCACTGTTGTTTAAAAAGTAAAACGAATCGACTAAAAGGCTTTTAAGCGTAGAATGTCTACATCACACCGTGTAAAACAAGTTTCCTCCTTAAGTTTGTTCACCTCACCCAATAGATGTTTTAGTGTTGACAACAATTCTATGGCAACATGGCACCAGTGCTGAACATGATAATAAAACAAATGGTGCGAATTCTGATCATTAGAGAATCTATCTATATTTATGATCTTAAATAAATATAATCTAGTCGAAATTTAGTTCTGAATAATTTAAGAAGTAATATAACAAAAATAACAAAATCATCATCAGTAAATAGTAATAAAATATAAAAAAAACTCTTTTTAACATAGCCCATAGAGCCGTTGAAGTAGTGTCAGTGGCGTAGCGAGGTCGGGTGTCACCCGGTGCGACACTTAATGGTGTCACCCCCCCCCCCCAGAGACGTTTTCGATTTGTACCCCCCCCCCCTCAAGTTTTCGACTTGCACCCCCCCTCAAGCTTTCGATTTGCACCCCCCCCCCGTCAAGTTTTTCTCTATATATTTTGCTATTTTTTGCCTTGGTGTCACCCCCCTAAATGGTGTCACCCGGTGCGATCCGCACCCCCCGCCCCCCCTCGCTACAACCCTGAGTAGTGTTCATCCCTGTTTCAGTGACTTCAGCCTATGAAGAGATAGTGTACAGTCCCCTTTTTCAAACGTCTCGGCCTATAGGGCAAGTGAAGTAGTGTTCACTTGTTTCTCTGACCTCGGCATATGAAGAGATAGTGTGGTCAGCACTGCCCAGCCGCCTTTACTTTCCCTAACATGAGTTAGGTACCCATCAGAGTTGGGTGGACTCAGGGACGGTCTACTGACTTGAACCCGGATTCGAACTCGAGGATTACTGGTTAGCAGTCCAGCTCTCTACCGCTAGACCACTCCGTCCCATAAGAGATAGTTTAGCCATCACTATTCCCAGCAACGTTTACTTTTCGTAACATGCGTTAGGTACCCATCATCAAGCCCCTGATCCGAACTAGAGGCTTTCAGGTTAGCAGTCGAACGCTCTACCATTCGACATTGACGTCTCTCAATAGTAGTTATATATAATATAATGAATGTTAGCCTCCACGAATGCCGTTGTCCCAGGTATATTTTGACAGATGATTCAAGTTGTAACATTGACCTACTGTACTGGACATCCAACTAGCCAGACAATTTATTATTAGCTCACCTAAAAGCTTTCCAATTTGTTTTCGAAGATCAGAATAACATTGTTGTAATGCAAAAATGACAAATAAGCAAACTAATATATATATATATATATATATATATATATATATATATATATATATATATATATATATATATATATATATGTGTGTGTGTGTGTATGTGTGTGTGTGTGTATGTGTGTGTGTGTGTGTGTGTGTGTGTGTGTGTGTGTGTGAGTGTATATAATGCAAAAGAGAAAATAATTCAATAAACTGGGAAATTCCAAAGTATTAGATATTTTTAATTTTATGTATTAATAATTGTGTTACAATTTATTTAAAACATTATTTCTTTTCATTCATACATTAAACGGATATGGAATTTTAATGCAATTTCAGATACTGGTGTTTTTTTTTTGTGGGAGAAGGAGGGTGGTGGGGGAGGGGTGGGGGCTTACACGATAGTTTGAGACCGTACCATATAAATTCTAGTGTTTTATAGATCTGAAAAATATCCAGCCAGTGGCGACATTAGCTTGTCCATGATTAGATCACACAAACGCTGGACCACCCATGCCAGGAAGATGTTGAAAACCATCAGAGCGGCCGCGCAAATAGAAGAATCAGGGCCGATAACATCTGGGAGGATGTACATGGCTTGCCTGAAAATAGAGGACAACATTGTATTTCACTAGACGGTGCAGTGTTGATAAACTATATGATAGTCTTGAGTAGATTAAACCAAAGCACTGATTAGCTTCGTAGATTATGTTCATATTTCCATCCAAATCTACAGAAAAAATATACCAGTTTCAATCATCATTGAGACGAAATATACCTGAAATTAATACCCGTAAGTCACTTAAATTCAACCTGCGCTACAAATAAGTATAAATAGGGAAGACTACGTCCCAATACAGAATGATCACTAAAGCTTTTAAAGAATTAATCAACTTAAAATGCAGTTTAATAGGACAGAGAACACGATTCATAAAGCGTGGATTGATTTTTTATTACATGCCTAGTATTATTTGAACACAGTGTATTATTTGAACACAGTGTATTATATGAAAACAGTGTATTATATGAACACAGTGTATTATATGAATACAGTGCATTATATGAAGACCGTGTTTTATATGAATACAGTGCATTATACGAAGACCGTGTTTTATATGAACACAGTGTATTATACGAACACTGTGTATTATATGAACACATTGTTTTATATGAACACAGTTTTTTATATGAACACAGAGCTATACCAGCGGGAGTGTGAAGGGTAACAGTTCTTCAAAATATGTCAGGTACCGATGTACGCTATTGCACAGAGGTCAACACTCCGACACCAAACATCAGACACCAAAACCAAGACAAACACCCCAAAAAATCTATAAAAATATCACTGCTTAAAGATTTAATACTGACGAAAATAATAGTTTGGGTAACAAAATAGCAAAAATAGAAATGACAACACTGACCAATGAACTATCAAGGGCAACATAACACTCAGGTCCAGTAGTATCCGGGCCAGCTGGAAGATGCTGGCAAGTTGGCGGAAGAAGAGTGGCTTGAAGTAGTGGCGTCCCATTAGACGAAACCCGTAGGTAAACAAGGCTAGAAGAGAGGGGGAGCAGTGGTGGTTAGTGGTGGTTAGTGGCGTCCCATTAGACGAAACCCGTAGGTAAACAAGGCTAGAAGAGAGGGGGAGCAGTGGTGGTTAGTGGTGGTTAGTGGCGTCCCATTAGACGAAACCCGTAGGTAAACAGGGCTGGAAGAGAGGGGGGAGCAGTGGTGGTTAGAGGCGTGCCATCAGGGCAAACTAGTAGTTAAACGGCTATAGGACATTACCCCATCGTCAATTAACCCCCTCCCCCCGGACATTTCCACCCCACCCCGTATTTACCCCTGTCTATTACCCCTGTCAATCCCTCCCCCCCCTGGGGAATCCCCCCCCCCTCCTCAAGTTAGAATCCTAACTCTAACTGAAACTGTATACCTATATATTACCGTAATCCTAAACTAAAGAAAAAGACCAATACCTAATCATTCACCTCAGCCTAAAACTTAACACAAAACCAAAAACCATCTCTAGACATTGGTTTTAAGCCTAACATTGACGATAACGCTAACCTTAATCCTAGCCCTGACCATAACCCTGACCATAACAATAACCTTAATCCTAATACTAACCCTAAATCTAACTCTAACCCTAACCCTAGCTGTATCTTAAGCAATGTCAGTTGGGGGGGGGGAGTAATTGACAGGGGGTAATTGACGGGAGGGGGGGGTAGTGCCCTGTTCCCAGTTAAACAGAGCTGGAAGTGGTTAGAGACACGCTGCACATGGTTGATGATGTAAATAAATTGATGAATGCTGGATACAAAATGCTCTGGACGGCAGTGGTGGTTAGAAGAACTTTTCAGTTTGTTGATGGTGTAAATAAATTGATGAATGCTGGATACAAAATGCTCTGGACGGCAGTGGTGGTTAGAAGAACTTTTCAGTTTGTTGATGATGTAAATAAATTGATGAATGCTGGATACAAAATGCTCTGGACGGCAGTGGTGGTTAGAAGAACTTTTCAGTTTGTTGATGATGTAAATAAATTGATGAATGCTGGATACAAAATGCTCTGGACGGCAGTGGTGGTTAGAAGAACTTTTCAGTTTGTTGATGGTGTAAATAAATTGATGAATGCTGGATACAAAATACTCTGGACGGCAGTGGTGGTTAGAAGAACTTTTCAGTTTGTTGATGGTGTAAATAAATTGATGATTGCTGGATACAAAATGCTCTGGACGGCAGTGGTGGTTAGAAGAACTTTTCAGTTTGTTGATGGTGTAAATAAATTGATGAATGCTGGATACAAAATACTCTGGACGGCAGTGGTGGTTAGAAGAACTTTTCAGTTTGTTGATGGTGTTAATACATTGATGAATGCTGGATACAAAATACTCTGGACGGCAGTGGTGGTTAGAAGAACTTTTCAGTTTGTTGATGGTGTTAATACATTGATGTATGCTGGATGCAATATACTATAGAAAGACTAACAAGTTGATGACACACGAAAGGCTGTCATTTGTATTGTATTTAGGGGTCGGCGTGGTCGAGTCGGCAAAAGCTCATGGTTGATAAAAATTCGAAAAACAAAAGTCTCGAGTTCAAACCATCTGGCATATAGGGCTCGATCCCTTCCAACACTTAAAATTAAGAACGAAGAAGAAGTAATCTTGTATTCATCGAATTTTAAAAATTGAAATACAATTAGAGTCAGGTACTGCACCCTGTGTATCTTTCAAAATCTAAATTTCTGTCCGATTGTACTAAACCATAAGGATCAGCGTGGTCGGACCGGTAAAGCTCACGGCTGCTAAACCGAATGTCCCAAGTTTGAACTTCCCGGCTGATGAAGCTCGATAACTGGAGTCAGAAACTCATCTAGGAGAGAAAACTCCAAATACAAACAACAGCTGTCTTATAGTTTGCTTTGGATGTGCAAAAGCTATGGAAAACAAAACAAAAAAAGCCGGCTGAAATCGTGGTCAATGGCCTAAAAGGCAAAACAAATTAATACTTAATTGTGTAAGAGGCAATCCCTTCGAACAATACAATGAATAATGAACAAATAAAGACCTATTTAAACAAAACCTATATCAGATGTCGCAGATCCCAGAAAGCCTGTGACAGTTTTGAAAAGCAAATAGAAATGTACGAGCTCTCAAATACGTACCACATAGAGCTATAAAATTAGCCAAATCTCCAACAACGTTAAACTGGGTGGTGTTCGTTTCTTGAAGTTCATCGGCGTCGGCCACACCTAAATATATATTGTAATAGTAATTTGGTTTCTTATGTTCTGTTTGTGTTACAGGGAGTTGATAATATCAGGGAAAACGTTATCTGGGAATCTAACTAAATCATTGCACGCTTAATTCAATCTATCACGTAGATCGTAAAAACCATATCAGTCACACTATCAATCATCTCTTAACACCTATTGGTGTAGTTGGCACACCTCATTGCATTTTCTCATACATTTCTACCATATCTCTCGGCCCTCTGCTGCTGTGAGTAGTGTTGTAAGTGTTCTATATGAAGAATTTTGAATAATTCATTTCGATGTTAGCACCATGATACTTTTCTTTTACGGCTCTTCAGACTTCAGATGCAAAACAATATACACGAGAAGTGACGACTAATACACTCCGGTTTTAGTCATTTAATTAACGACTTTTACATTGCTTCTAAGAGATCTATTTTGTTTTGATGTAGATGTAAATGCCTTTATAAATAAATATCTCGTAAGACGCCATTAAAACATTAACAATTATTTATATACGAGCCGACCCGCAGCGTATCATGCGCCGCTATTTAGTTGTTTTATTTTCTACTTTTCAGTAATTCACAACTTGTGAATTCGACAGTACCAATGCTGCCACTAAAAATATTTGCTTTGAAACACTACCCCCCCCCCCCCCTATCCCCTAACCCCGATCCTACACCCCCCCCCCCATGAAAGCAGCCTCCTCTTAGTTATTTCTTAGTTACCTCCTGTAAGTTTAAAATCGAACTAAATTATCTGCCCCTAATAGAGACCGGGCTCTACGGCTCTACGATTTGTAAACATTTAGCGTGACCACAGCTCACCAGACAATGTGGGGGTGGGGGTGGTAGTGATAGTGATAGTGATAGAGAGAAAGAGAGGGGACTGCAAGGAGGCGCTAGCAGCTTGTTTTCTAACGGCTCCCAGAAGAGAATTATATATATATAGATATAACAAGAATTACTTTAAGAACAAAGAACTATTTAAAATAAGACAAGCCTACCTGATGCATTTGGCAGCATTTTAAAATAAAATAATCTTGCTGTACAAATGTTATATTCCTATTTATGTTCGAAAAGTCGAAATGATGGCATGATTTGATGAAGTAAAATCATAGACCCACTGGTGTCTCAGGCAGGCATTTTTCATAAATAAAATACACTCTTTTCATGTTTTGTTTACTTCATTGCAGATGTATAGATTTTCGACTCTTGACATCAACTGCGGAACTACAGCACTAAACAGCGGTGCCGAACACAATCATTGAGTTGTGTAGCCTATGGTGCGAAGAGTGTGAAATTCTGTTGTGCGCGTACATCTTCTTCTTCATCTTCGTTCTTAATGTTAGTGTTGGAAGGGATCCCCTCTAACACAGTTAAGTATACGTGTCAACTGGTTATGCGCGATTGAGCTATTTCAGCCTGCATTTCTTTTTGAATTTTGCTTTCATAGCCTTCCATAGACTGCTAACCCGAAAGTCTCGAGTTCGAATCCGGGTTCAGTTCAGTAAAATATTCCTGAGTCCATCCAGCTGTAAAAGGTACCTAAAGGGACAGTAAAGTCGACTGGGCATAGAACCGACCACACTATAACAGTAACAGGTGAACTCTACTTGCCTGATGAACCGTCAGGTTTGAAAAGTGAACTTTACTTTTGCTTTTATATTTGTAGCTGTCATAAGCTGTTCACGGGAGGATGGCTGTATGTTCAAACTGATTAGGTATGATTTGTCAGAGCAAATAAAAAAACTAAAAACCCATTTTTTTCAAAACTATGTTTAAAAACAGATATAGCCATAAAATGAAAAATGGCTTGAACACAAACAAAATATTGTTCAGGAAAACACGCGTTTGTTTAATTCAAACTACAGTAATGATTTCAAAAGAAATCTTTCAAACAACAACACTTTGATGAGTGTTAAAACCATGCAAACTAACGTTGCTAATAGAGCACGTTTTAACATTATAAATTATTGAAATAGTAGTCTAAGAGGTCGTCCATAAATGACGTCACACACGTAAAGTTGCAGGGGGTTCGTAATTTTGTGACGGTGTGTGATGAGGGGGAGGGAGTTCAGATGTTGTGACGTCACACTTTTGCATTATAAAAAAGCGATGTTAGAAAATAAATTTTAGCCGTTATTTCCCGTTTTAAAATTTAACAATTTGTAATAGGAATTGATTAAAATACTCTATGTTAACAGAGGTCAGACAAATTTTTGGAAAGATATCGTATTTTAAGAAAAATTCAACTGTAATTTCGAGAGGGATTATAGGCTGAGGTGTGATGTTATTTTAGTGGGGGGGATGGTCTGGCTTTTTGTGACGATGTGTGACGACGGAGGGTGAGGGGGAGGAAAAAAATCGTCAAAAAAACGTGACGTCATTTATGGATAACCCCCTAAATAAAACAAATTAACAGTGCATTTTTTAATTCCAATCTCATTTTTTTAAAACTGCTTGTCACCGGTGCAGACGAAAGGGAAATGCCCTTTACAGTCGTGTCTGATGACCCTCCCACTCGCAGGCATCAGTCCACAGTACTCAGTCTTGCTCTCTGTCGTGTTGATTGGGGCGAATAGTGCGCCTGTTGCCTTGGTGTTGTCGTCCCATTCCCACTGGCCCGACTTCCTCTTGTCATTGGCTCCTATCCAATCTATAGTAGGTCAAGGAAAGGTTACATGGTGTCAATCATTTTAAATTTAAACTGTCTTAATTTTGAGAAATGATGACTGCTGTTATTGGCTCCTATCCAATCTATAGTAGGTCAAGGAAAGGTTACAAGGGGTCAAACATTTTAAATTTAAAGTGTCTTAATTTTGAGAAAGCGTACGACTGCTATAATTGGCACCTAACCAATCTTTAGTAGGTCAAGGAAAGGTTACAAGGGGTCAAACATTTTACATTTAAAGTGTCTTAATTTTGAGAAAGCGTACGACTGCTATCATTGGCTCCTATCCAATCTATAGTAGGTCAAGGAAAGGTTACAAGGGGTCAAACATTTTAAATTTAAAGTGTCTTAATGTTGAGTGTTGAGGTTGGATGGTAAAGCGCACGACTGCTGTCTTTGGCTCCTGTCCGATGGAAAACCAGTCAAGGAAACATTAAATGGAGTCACGTGATACAGGAGCTAGGGGAGGACGGGTGGGGTGACCGCCCCGGACGCCGACAATAAAGGGGCACCAAAAGGAGTAGAAAAAATAATTTGAAAGCTAATTTTAAGCTGAAGTATTGAATTATACATTGTCTAAGTTGCGAAAAATAAACGACTACAATGCTTTACACACTGATTTAAATGTTTCTGTTTTCTATTTCAATTTTTAGGCACTGAAATAGAAATTGTTGCGGGATAGTAACTGGTAAAAAGCGCTACAAATCTTTCCAACTGGGTGAGGGGGGGGCTCTTTTTCATAGACAGAAATAACTATATTTATAATGGAAGGGAGGGGGCGCAAAATTGATAGTCCACCGCTGGCGCTGTAATAGGTCGTTACGCCTCTGACGTAATATAATTTTAAAATAAAAGTGTTTTACTAATGAATGATATATCTAGTAAAGGAACGTCGAGGTTGGGTGGTAAAGCGTACGACTTTGGGGAGTTAAAAGCTACACAGAAATTGTGTCCATAGAACGTCCTTGTGTCTACACTTCGCTGACAAGCACCTGCCTCAGGTAAAGTAAAGGTGTCTGGACTTGGGACTGATCACACTATCACTTTATATACCAATGTCCCAGGAACAAATCAACTCTACATGACCTCTTCTCTTGACCGCCAGTTTCAAAAAACTAAACAATAAACTTTGATAGTGAGGAAAGATTTGAGTGACTTAAAGTGTTCTAAAATTTACAAGCTTAGTCCTACCAACGGTGAATGAGTTAATGGTGAGTACTTAACAGCACACAATTTCCACAGTAGTGGCCAGCGCAATATTTAAACAATCAATTCTTAAAAAAAAAACTTAACCAGTTATTCTATGAGGCATCTCTTTGGTGGCCCCACCCACATGCCGTAGTCGCCCCCACCCTCGGAAGAAATTAAAAATAAAATATAATTTATATAGAAAACAAAATAATTTCAAGTGTGCCCTTACCCCAGAACATTGTAACTGCCCTCACATTGCAATTAATAATAGTGGTTTTGGTTACTTTTTATGTCTTAATATCATAAAAACGGGACTAATAATTAGTTTATTAAGTAATTATTAAGTAATGTACTCACAGTTCTCCCACTGCAAGATTCGAGACATTTGATGGATAAAGACCATTATTCTTGTGTTAGTCAGTTTGGCCAGTTGAAAGTTTTTCTCACTACAAGTATTCTGTGATTCATTTTTAAATAAATAAAACTCTATTAGTAATTTTCCCTAGTTTTATTGTTTCAAATTGGCATTTGTTAGCAACTTGCATTTAACTATTCATGATTTAAACCATTTTTTCCGACCTTTCGGTCTTAACATCTAAGAAAACACAACCCACTTAAATTCGTTTCTTCTAATGTAACAAATTAATTTAACATAACTATCTCCGCATTTTCACACGTTATAAAAAATATAGAATTTGTACCCATGCTTCTGTTCATGTCATCAGTTGCTATAAAATATTTACCTTCTCTTCTTCCCAAGTCACAAATTGCTATACAGCATGTAACTATTCAACATCTACCTATACAACATCTACCTATACAACATCTACCTATACAACATCTACCTATACAACATCTACCTATACAACATGTACCTATACAACATCTACCTATACAACATCTACCTATACAACATCTACCTATACAACATCTACCTATACAACAACTACCTATACAACATCTAACTATCCAACATCTACCTATACAACATCTAACTATCCAACATCTACCTATACAACATCTACCTATACAACATCTACCTATACAACATCTACCTATACATCTACCTGCTCAACATCTACCCATACAACATCTACCTATCCAACATCTACCTATACAACATCTAACTATCCAACATCTACCTATACCACATCTACCTATACATCTACCTATACAACATCTACCTATACAACATCTACCTATACAACATCTACCTATACAACATCTACATATACATCTACCTACTCAACATCTACCTATACACCATCTACCTATACAACATCTACCTATACAACATCTACCTATACAACATCTACCTATACAACATCTACCTATACATCTACCTATATAACATCTACCTATACAACATCTACCTATACAACATCTACCTATACATCTACCTACTCAACATCTACCTATACAACATCTACCTATCCAACATCTACCTATACAACATCTAACTATCCAACATCTACCACCTATACAACATCTAACTATCCAACATCTACCTATACAACATCTAACTATCCAACATCTACCTATACAACATCTACCTATACATCTACCTACTCAACATCTACCCATAAAACATCTACGTATCCAACATCTACCTATACAACATCTACCTATACAACATCTACCTATACATCTACCTGCTCAACATCTACCAATACAACATCTTCCTATCCAGTATCTACCTATACAACACCTAACTATCCAACATCTACCTATACAACATCTACCTATACATCTACCTACTCAACATCTACCCATAAAACATCTACGTATCCAACATCTACCTATACAACATCTACCTATACAACAACTACCTATACAACATCTACCTATACAACATCTACCTATACAACATCTACCTATACATCTACCTACTCAACATCTACCTATACAACATCTACCTATCCAACATCTACCTATACAACATCTAACTATCCAACATCTACCACCTATACAACATCTAACTATACAACATCTACCTATACAACATCTACCTATACAACATCTACCTATACAACATCTACCTATACATCTACCTGCTCAACATCTACCAATACAACATCTACCTATCCAACATCTACCTATACAACACCTAACTATCCAACATCTACCTATACAACATTTACCTATACATCTACCTATACAACATCTACCTATACAACATCTACCAATACAACATCTACCTATACAACATCTACCTATACAACATCTACCTATACAACATCTACCCATACAACATCTACCTATACAACATCTACCTATACAACATCTACCTATACAACATCTAC